TCCCTCCCTCCCTCCCTCCCTCCCTCCCTTGAATGTAGAGTAATAGCGTTGGAAGGAATTTTGGAGTATAAGACCGTATACCAGTGTTAGCAAACCTTTTCAGCACTGGAGGCATGTGCATGCGGCCGTACCGGAAACCAGAAGAACAGCTGCCCGCTGTGCATGCACGCCAGTAGTGGGTTCCAGATCCTGTCACAACCGGTATGCTGCGATGGGGTTGGCTGTCCTCGGCAGGCACGTGTGCTGTGCATGCATGCGCATGCCACCGCCCAATGACACTCTGCTGCTTGGCGGAGGTCACGCAGGTGCCTCACTCTGTGCGCGGATGCACAATTGGCCCGTTTGCCTCAAAAAGCAGTAAGGAATGTGGGCAGGTAGGTGAGCCAAACGGCCCACTGTTCCGGTATGGTAGCTGCTGCTCCCAGCTACCACTGGTATGCCCATACAGGGCCGTACTACCCGGAACCCAACACTGATGCACACACCGGGAAGATGATCTTCTGGTTTCTGGCACATGCATATGGTCTTTCAGTTTCTGGCACGCATGTGCATTCAAAGACCAGCTGGCCGGTGCACATGCACATATCAAAAACTGAAAGATAATCTTTCTGGTGCACACATGTGCCCAGGGCGGCTGCTCTTCCAATTTCCAGCACTCCCCCACTCATGAAGACTAGCTGGCTGGTGTGTTGGAACCCAGAAGAGCAACGGGCAACAGCTCGTGTGCCTGGAGAGATGACTCTGCGTGGCATAGTTCACCATCACAAATGTAAGCTGTAGATGCATTCTACACAATTGATTGGGCAATGTCTGAATGAGGTTGTTGCCTTTTTGTTTACAAAAATACATTACTAGAGTAAGGATGGGAATGAAATTCAGTTGTTAGATTTTCTAGCTACCGTATCTCTGTGCTATATATGGTCAGGAAAGTGACATTATTTTTAAAAGATAAATCATTTTTACCTGTGGTGAAATTCACTTTTTTTTACTACCAGTTCTGTGGGCATGGCTTGGTGAGTGTTGTGTACCTTGGTGGCATGGCTTGGTGAGCATGGCAGGGGAAGGATACTGCAAAATCCCCATTCCCATCCCAAACTACTCAAAATTTCTGCTGCCGGTTCTCCAGAACCTGTCAAAACCGGCTGAATTTCACCCCTGATTTTTACCCTATAGTTGCCAGATGTTCAGCATTAGGCATGATAGCCTCACACACTGTATTTAGGAGGAAGACCCTTTGCAGGAAAGACAATAAAGCAGGAACCAGCAAATTATTATCACAAAGAAGGAAACTAAAATATGAAGATCTCTTCCACATTGCTTTTGGGAGAGAGGTTTTGGGGCCCTCAGTCTTCCACCCTACAGACTTCAATAACCTGCTATAGGTTGGCAACAATAAATGCTATAATAAATATTAGCTTATAGTGTCCAGAACTAAGATCTGGACTAAGAACAGAATAGATTAGGGCAAAGCCAATCTTATATAGCAGTATCGGTTAACCTTTTCAACAGCAAGTGCCAAAATGGGGCATGCGCACATGGGAGCACCAGAAACTGGAAGAGCAGCTCCCTGGTATGCATGCACATGCTGGGAAGCTGAGCTTTTGATTTCTGGCAATGCCACGCATGCAAAGGAACATGGAACATGGAAGAGCAACAGGCGATGGCTGGCATGTCTGGAGAGATGGCTCTGCATGCCACTTTTGGCCCGCGTGCCATAGGTTCGCCATCATGGTTATCTAGCATTCTTTATCCCCATTGTGGCCATGCAGATACTTATGAAAGTATTTGTTAGGTAAGCTCCCTGTTGGGAGAGCAAGTGCGTTCAGAGAAGCGTTGTGAGAGTTGTGTTGGAGAACACACAAACCAGCATACAGAGACACTGCAGTTTAAATAGGCTTTTACTTCTGTGGAAATAGAGGTATCAGAGTCCATCAAACAGTCCAAGTCATACACGGATAAGACAGTCAGTCATCAATGTCTTTCAGTTAAGGGATAATCCAAATAAACATACAAACAGTCGGGTACTCAAAG